TTTAGGGGGTAGGCACACTATCGAGATTCTGGGGCTCCGCAAATAGGCCAACGTTATTTACTGACTCCCCATCGGTTAGAGAAGGTTTATGAAAATTTCCCTTTAGGAATGAATTACTGTGAAACAAGCCGTCCAGAAAGAGCGTAACGGCTAGTATACAATATGAACGCAGAATTTTATTTGTTGAATTATTTAAAATATACAATTTTAAAGAGCAAAAGTTTAATTGCAAAGACGTAAACGTGAAGAATGTATGTAAAATTCAAACTGTATTTATAATTAAATCAAATTAAACTAATAGTTTAAAAAATGTAAATATTTTAACCATAAATAAAATTATTTGTATTGTAATCAAAGATTCTTAAAAATAATGAATTATTATTTATATGAATTATTAATTTTTCAGGCATTTCTTACTTTTTAAAGTTATCATTAAACGCTAATTGGAATTTAACTGCAGCTGTTAATTATAAATTATTTTACAAAGCGACTTTTGGATACAAAAAAAAAAACCATCTTAATTTTACAACCATATATCTAATTTAAAATACATTACATTTATTTCTTAAGATTTAATATGGCAACGAGAACAAAAACAGTTTTATGAGCAATTTTCCCTTACGCATTTCGAAAATCTTCTAGTTTTTCAAATTAAAATTAATGTCCTCTTGCAAGAAGCCATATGGCGAAAACCTTCATTTAAATAACATTCATCCTCCTTAAGATTGCAAAACTTAAAAATTCACTGCACTGCATTACGTTCTCTGAAATCACTTTAGCTGAGAAGTGGCAACATTCAGTTCCTTCAACCCCTACTCTTATATTCTTCCCCTGAGACAGGTAACAACCTCATAACAATTCATTCTCATTTAGGAACATACATCCCCCCGACAGATGTGAATATTTCATTCGAATTGCTCGACTCGCCTCAATCCACCCCCCACGTGACCTGCAATGGGGGAGGAGGGAGCTAGGGAATTTTGCTAGATTTTTTTGTTCTTTGAATTTTTAGATGTAGGAGGTGAAGAGAGAGTAAAAGATTTTGTGTTTTCTTTATATATATATATATATATATATATTAATATTTTCGCCTCTTATGAGGAGGAATTTTATTTGTAGCTTCAATGAAAGAGCACCTGACATGTTTCAAAATTCTGTCAGGTTTATGTTTATATAAATATATGTTATTGTGAATATTATGTGTATATTTGTTTATATTATGTACTCTTAAATATCCGTCAGATTTTTGCCTTTTTTCCTAATACTACCATGCACTATTTGTTTCGTAATACACTTTTTTTATTGAAAAACATAGGCAGTGGTATTATATTATGTTTTTTAAAGGGATATTTCATATTTCTGTTGGTAATTTTATTATCTTATCCAATACCAGATAACTGAATTTTTTCTTTAAATTTCTCAACGTAGTAATGATTTGTCATGGAATCGGGAAAATTAAATATTGTTTCCACTTTGTTGCGTAATGAAGCTCAAAGATAAAAGGATGGTAACTTGTAAAAGAAATTGGCTAAATATTTGCGAATTTTAATTAATGTTAATGTGGTTGGGAAAGCCAAGTGGTCATGCTCAAGGACTCATGGCCAGCATATAGTGAGGTTGAGACCTGGTGTCGTAGAAGACCCAACGTGTAAAGATGCTGATCTGATGCACATTAAAGCTCCTGAGGCTCAAAATTCTCACGCTGGTGAGGAAGTTAGGAGAGGGTGACTCGTAACTCCACTAAGGTTCTCAAAATAATTGGTTGTGACGTTAATAATCCCTCACCAACTTATGTTAATTATATTTTTAATTCGATATGATTGCATGTCCTGTTTTAATTTAAACACCATACAGTACTTAAGTATTATCGCAACAATCGCCAACGTTAAGATAACTCGTCAAGTTGGCAACTCCAATTTTGCACTGTTGTATGCACTGAATTGGCAATCATGTGCTTCGCTTCATATAATATCGTCAATAGATTGCGATAACAAGTAAGTATCCATCCACACACACACATACGCATTCATTAAATTTTAATATCCCAAAAAGTTTTTTAACGTAATATCACAAAGGAATTCGGAAACGTAATTCGCTTTTTTTTTTAACTCGCACAATCAATAACCATAATTAAATGAAAAACAGGAGTTAATAAGATAATAATACTATTCTACTTAAAAATCGTCCCCGACACCATTCCTGAACATTCTCATGTAAAATTATCTCCTGAATGCGAATATGAACCCTCTTTTGCCCCGTCACACACCATTTCCTTGTGATCCCCCCCCCACCGATTTTATCACCGTTAATTTTATGGCCCTGAATTTGATTTGGAGGAGAGTTAATTAATTTAACCATTAAATAACTACTGAGGAGCTTCGAAGGTAAAAAGCTCCAACACATGAACTTTTGTAGAAAGTAGGGGATTTCCCCCCATCTTTAAATTAAAAAAAATCAGTAAACATTATCCCTCGGTTTTTCAGATTTATATATTCCAAAATTCTTTCACTTATTTTCTAAATATTCCAGCTTCCAACCCCCTTTTTTTTTCTCTTCACTTAAATACCTCAAATAACAAAAACGTATTGCAACAATTTTGGCAAAAGGCTGATGAGGGGAAGAGGTCCTGAAATTTAGAATTTAAATACATTTTTTGACAGCATATCATGCTTTCTGAATTCATCAGCTTATAAACCATATAATTATTAAACTTAAATACATATTTTTATAATTTCACCCAAGATCCGAGAAAACGATATCGACTACATAACTCATCACCACGCCCGAAATTATCCCATCATAATCTGCCTTTCCTCAGAGTTTCCTCATATTTACTTCATTTAAAAGTCTGATTTGAAATTGGCAGCTGCTCAAAGGTCAGGGTCCTATGTCACAGGATGGGACACATTTAAAAATATTGCGGGGTGTGTCAATCCCAAAATGTCACGCAGTATTAACGAAAGTCTTGTAGTTAATTTCTAATGGTATACGGCGTGTAATTACAGTATAGGGAGTTCAAAATAAAAAACTTTTCGTAAATTTAATTATAATTGTGGCACTTGAGAGCTTTTGAAGATATGGTAAGAAATTTATTTTTTTGTGATATTGTGCAGTGTGACAGATATCAGTTATATAAATACAACACCCATCTTTTTTACACGGAAATAACATAATCTAAGATCTAGCTACCTTTATTTTTTTACACGGATGATTTGCTTCAACATGCTTTAGAATTATTTGATTGCAGTTGCGTAACGTACCCCCCGAAACCTCCGCATTGGGGGGGAGATTAGGATTCTATATGGCCCTAAGAGCATGACTGACGCTAAGTACACACCCTTTGTAAGTTCCGACTTAGAGCCCACAACCTGACTTTGCAGGGGGGGCCCTAATATTCTCCGTTACGCCACTGCTTGGTTTTTCCACGAAAATATGTGGATTCAGTGGCGTACGCAAGGGGATGATTAAGAAAGGGTTCACCCATCCCCATAGATCAACAGATTTTTAATTTTCACCATGGAGATTACCAATTCCCGTTTACGCCGTGTTTTTAGAAAGTACAACCCCCCTTCATAACTCTTATTCAGGGAGGTTAATCTGTGTACTACACTGTACAAGTGAAATTCCTCTATTAACTTAGTTTGAATTTTGAGGGTTTATACAAGAATTCTTACAAGTCTTGAAGAAATTTTTTAATATTGATCCAAATGTAGAAAGCACCCTAAAATTCCAACAAAGTTTGTTTGGCTGAGTACAAAGCATTATATAAAGAATTAAGTAAATAGCAGTATAATTATAGAGAATAGAAGATAAAACTATCTATAAAGAGTTACATAAAGAATAATAAATAGATAACCAATTTTTTTGATAAATGTTATAATTTAAAAAATTACAATTTGAATTTATAAATACAACTCATGTTTTTCACCACTTCCTTACACGATTTTTCAAATTAATTTTAAAATTCTTTTTTTTTCATTTTGTTCTGTTTTCGAATAAAGTAAAACGCATTATCCTTTTTTACAACACAAATTGTGCCATTTTACACTTTTTAAGCTTTTTTTTTGTGGAAAGTATCTTGTGGAAAAAGAAAGAGTTGGGGGTACAAATAAATTATTTGAAAGAAAAACAGTTTTTTCAACACAATTTTTTTAAAGGCAACAATATTCTCATTGTCACATATAAATTGTTAAGTTATGTAAAATTTGTGGAATTCTTTAACGAAAATTTTTCCTGCTCAGAATAAGAAAATTTGGATAAAAAAGAACAGATAATTTTAATTACTGAAAATTTTCCTTGCATTACTAAATAGTTTTAAAAAAGTATAATTTAAACTATCTTCATTAAATTAATTTTGTTTTTTTTTTGCTTGTCAAAATGAAATAAATGAAATATTTTATAAGAAAATGGTAAACTTAGCTGCTCTCACAAAAGAAGATTCGGTACTTTTCCGTTTCGCAGGCACAAATCTCGTCAAGCAGAATTTATTGGCGACCACACACTATTTTTAGATTAAAAAAATGTTGATAAATGCCTGTTCTCATTGGTTTTTCATCCATTTTTGATGTATTATGAAAAAGACGTTACTAATAAGAAAATACTGCGCCTTGTTTTGAAAATGTGGTGGTTAAAGTTTACCTGCGGGAATATTCCGTTTGACTTCGGTTGTATTATTTTTGATGACTTTATCGCCTGCGCCGACGAAATGGAAAAGTAGTGAAGATTCATATTAACATTTTTTCAATTCCTACTATTAGTTCACACTCCCCTATATATATTTATCTATATTTTTTTCTTGTTCAAATTTTCAATCGTTAATAAAATACTTTTTATTCATCCACTCAAGTTCAAATACAATTTTTTAAACTTGTAGTGGATGACACTTGATGTTAATACAGTTTTTTCAAATATTAATTCCTTAGTTAAACTTAATTAACGAATAAATAGTAAGCAAACAAATATAATAGTCAACACCATTGAAAAGGAAAATCGCTCGTTGTGTCTCTGTAGCGCAATGGATAGCGTGTTAGACTTCTAATCTAAAGGTCATGGGTTCGAATTCATCTGGGATGGCCTTATTTCTGAGAATGTGATTCCTTTTTAATATACTATTTTATTGGAATAATTAAATTAAATGAAGGAATAAATAGTAACAAACAAAAAAATAATCCAACACCATACATAGAAAGGAAAATGGAAAATCGCTTTCTATTTTGCCACTTAATATTGTGATTCTCTTATGTATAAACATATTTATATTAATTGTAATTATTTATATAATAAAAAGTAAATAAAATAAAATTTTTCCTTCGTTGACCTAAGTAGGAATTGACTGAAATTTTTTGTGTGTGTATTTTGTTTGTCTATCAAAACAACAATCATTTACATACAGTATAAACTAAGGCAGGTTATAATATAAAGATATATACTCTTTTTTTTTTGTTTAAAATTAATGTAATTTTCAATAATGTACTATTCTGGAGATCATAAGAGATTTTTTTAAAATTTTTTTATCTATAGCCAATGCTGTTCTAGAAGCTTTCTTACAAAAACGAAATGAGCTATTGACGACATTATTCTTAGCAATACTGTTATTAGTTTAAAACGCATCTTCTTAGTTATAAAACAATAGATTTACTCAATAGAAGTTTAACGTAGATGAATGTTATTGTTTCTCTATATAGGTATAAAAACATTTTAACGAAAACTTTTTGACTACTAATTATTATCTATTAAAAAATAAATTATTGATTCTTCAAAAAAGCATTCATTATTATTTTTGAACATGAATATCCTTACATTTAAAACTTTTATTGACTTCGGCATCTCAAATACTATTTTCTGTTTCATGATTCTTTTATGTTTTGTGAAATTTATATATAATGAATTTCCTTACAGTATGAATATTTCATGAATATGTTCGGTTTTGTCCTAATTTATGGCGAAAATGATATTCATTTATATAAAAAAAAGAAATCATGATTTCAATTTAAAATAGTTTTTCTAAGGGAAAAATTTAGATCCCATTTTTTTTTCTGTTTGAAACGAGTTTCTAAACATATTCCTTTTGAAAAATTTCAAAATTCAAATTATTTGTTAACTTTTTCGAATAAAACATCTGCTTCCGTTGGGTTTTTTCAACCATTGGGAGTATTTTATAATGAAGTTGACACGGATGTTAACATACCACATCTTGGAATCGTCAAGTCCACCTGATTGCCCAAGAAACTGATAAATAACGGTATGAATTATTAATGAGTTTATCTTTCGAAATTCAAAAATTTCTTCGAACCTATCAAAAGTTTGCAACAAGAAAACTTAAAATTGATTCTTCCAGCATCTTGTGATTGACAGAGTATGTCCCGTGATAATTTAATGCCGTTTGAAAACCAACTACTCGACTTTTTTTAAAATGGGCTAAGTCAAGTTTCTTACTTGATATTTTGTGATAATTTTATTCTAAAAACTAATATATCAATGAAAAAATATTGATTTTAGGTGCTTTGGAATTAAAATACTGAAATAGGGTTTATGCTGATAATTTCATGGTGGATATTTGTTAGTTTTCTAGTGTCGTATTTTCAATGATGGAGCTCCAATGATGCTCGTTTATTGACTCATAAAAGCATAGAACTACTTACACACACAAACACTTTTTAGGTAAATAATGAATCTCCCTATAGTTGTTGATACTATTAGAGAAAAAAAAAAAAGGCGAGAATGGTATACAACACATCAGTAGCGCGCACAGGAAATTTTTCAAGGGGGGTCCGAGGGGCGAAAGTTCACCATTCTTGTATCATGCTTTTTTGATTTTGTCGATTTTCGGGAACAAAACACAGTAAAAAACTAATTATTGAATAAATAATTAGCATTAATTAATAAAATTAATCATTAATAACAAATACTTGGTTAAATTTTACGTACTATATACTTAGAATTATAATCAATCGGAAAAAAATCAAGGGCTTTGGAGGGGTCCGGACACTCCCTCCTTGTGTGCGCCACTGCAACACATCTGCCTCTGCAGATACAAAAGCTTCCACACAATACCATGGTGTGGCACTCACGCAGGCGCAATACCCCAGGTTAGACTCGTTGCCATCTAGCGTTCTATAAGAATTATATAGAATTTATCTTGAGTTCGTTACAGTTTCAAATCAAATAAACTCTTGTAGTTAAATAAAAGTATGAAACAAAAATTATAAAATTTCAGTATGAGGAATAAATATAAAATTGCTTTATTAAGACATTTCATTAAAAAAAAAATTGTTCTTAACTACTCTATTTAAACAATGCGAAAAAAATATTTTCCAGCAAAATATTTTGAAAAGTACAATTTAGAATTTTTTAACTTAGACCAAATGATTTTCATTACATCTGAAACTCAACTAAAATGTCTTAATTCTCACAGTTAAAATTATAATATCTACGGGATAAAAATTTACAAATGAATTCTATTAAGTTATTTCAAGCAATTATCTAATTATTTGTTTTTATAAATTTATGAATTTGTACAACTTTACACAAATAACGAAATAGAATTTTATAATGGCTGAATAACGATAGAAAGCTATCATAAAAACGAAGGAATACCAAATTTTTTTCCTTGACATATAAAGGTTTTCCATTGATAATTATGATAAAAATTCATCACAATAAAGAAAGTTTGACAATAATAATAATAATAATAAGGGCAGAGCAAAAAGAATATAATATGATTTGAAAACCGAATAAAATTGTTTCATAAAAAGAATGGGAATTGTTATTTCTTCTAAAGCGGCAAAAACATTTTCAAATATTCAATAAAGCCTCTTTTCTCCCTTTAAATTGTTGAAAAAAAAAAGTGCATGCTCTAAGGATTCAAATTCGTGTGGGCTATCTTCAAGTGGATAAGAAAATCTTAATTCGATTTTATATTACTTTTTATTCAAGTCTTGCTGTTTTGACCTTTCATTTGAATAGTTCTGAGCTTTAAAGATAGTTTGCTTCAGTATGTAAAATGAAATTTTTAATATAATTTTGCATATCCTGGGGTATTTTGTTTCTCATTTAAACAAAGTAATGTTTCTTGTTATTAGATACGCAAAGTTTTGGAATATTTCATAATTGCTCTTAATATCTTTGCTGTTATTCATATAAGAGTATTGCTCATATTTTGCTTTTTGAAAAACCCATAATTTATATTACTTCACATCTTGTTTCTCATTTATCTGTTTATATTAAAATTAATAATATTTCTTTTTATTCTGACTATCTTCTAAAATTAAAAGTATTCTAAATTAATTAAATGGGAATTTAAAAATAATCACTTATATATGTATTTACATTTTTATTACAAAAATTTTGTAACTTTGCAATTCTTAACAAACTATATAAAATTAATTTTTTTTAAAAATAAATTTAATTTTTTGAACCCGGGTATTTTTTCTTTTTAAAACAATTCTTTTGTTATTTTTGGTTTTCAAAAAATTTTTTTATTAAAAATATAAAGATATTCTTTTTTGGTTTTAAAAAAATTTTTTATAAACTCAAGTCATTTATTTATTTTGTTAAAAATTTTTCCCTTTTTAATATCTTTAAAAAAAAATTTCAAAATTAAATTTTAAATAAAATTTAATTTCTTATATTCTTATTTTAATTCCCAATTTTTGAACTTTCCTTTTTAACCTTATAAAATTTTTTTGGGGAAAAATTTAATTTTAACGCAATTTAAAAAACACAAAACCCTCTTTTATTATTTGTTTCCCAAAACCCCTTTTTTAACCAAAAATGTAAAATTTCGGGTGCGGTTATAAAAATTTTATAAAATAAAAAATTTTATTATAGATTTAAGGGAAGGATTTAAACTTTTCAAATGCATTTTTTTTAATAGAATGTTTTAATTGAACTTTAAATTTTATTTCTAGAATTTAATTTTCAACCTTTAACTTCGTTAAAAAACTTAGAGTTTAATAATTTTAATAACACACAATTTTTTTAAAAGGGGGGGATCCGGGTAAAGCCCCCTTTCAAAAAATGTCAATTTTAGGTCGCAACCCCAAAAAAAATTTGTTTTGCTTTTGGGAACAAAAAAATTAAAAATTAAATTTTGTAAAAAATTGTTTTTTAAAATAAAATTAAATAAAGTGACAAAGAAAATTTTTTTAAAAATTTTCAAACTATATACATAGGATTATAATCAATCGAAACAAAAATAAAGGGTTATGGGTAAGTAGGCCGAGCCCTTGATGTGTGTGCCACTGTATTTCAGTCTTCTTCTTAAAAATGGGGGCGCCCGTTATACGGCGAGTATACCGAAAAGTTAAGAAATGCAGCTTGAAATTATAGGTTCGCGTTATACGCCGAATTTTACTTTATATTTTTTCCCAAGGAAAAATATGTTTATTCAAAACATCGCAAAAAGAAATCACAAAAAGTTAAGCGAAAATTTTATTAATTTACAAAATTTAAACAAAAAATTTTTTCCTTTCACGAAATTTTTTAATAATTTTTTAAAAATAAAAAAGTTTTGAAAAAAAATTAAAAAAAATTTTTCTTTTTGTTATTTTAATTATCGAAATTATTTTAATTATTTATTTTCTATAATAAACAAGAAAAACACCGCAATAAAAAAGTGAATTTTTCTGGCAATCATAAGTTAGTACCCGGTACAAAAAAACACGTCAAGAAAGAAACAAATTTTCCGATTAAATCGTTCCTCAACAATTTTCCACCTCTATAACATTCACGTCATGATTTCCAAAAAACTGTAATTCTTCCACCACACAATGCATCGAAACATGCCCACCAACACAGAAAAAAAGAAGCAATATTCTTATTTTTACGCTTCTGTGGCGCTCCGTGGAATGGCATACTTTGGATTATTTATGGCATCTTGTTCTGCGGATGGGGTCTTCCTGAGTCAGGAGACACAAAACATGACACTTGTGGGCTGCTTGAACTATTCCTAAAAAAAGAGAAACTGTCACTTGTGCTGTTCTTCCATCCATCAAGACAGGAATTGGATTACAGGAACCATTTCGATGGTGGGACTTGACATCACTCGAAGCATTCTGGTGATAGAGTTTGG